CAGGATGGGCAGAAAAGTCAGAGAAACTCCATCTCCAAATTAACCAGCAAAAGGCAGGATGGAAGCTTGGTTCAAGAGGTAGGATACCTGCTGAGCAAGAAAATGGAGTAAGCACAGCTACAGAGGTCAAATCCTAGAACCACCAAAAAAAAAGAAGATTAAGCGAGACCAGAGATCAAATTTGTAATTTTTCAGTTTATAAACACCTAGTTCCTAATGAAGCTAGATTCATGTATTTCTAATTTGTTTTTGCAACTACTCTTTTTTTTCCCATTACATCCTCAGCCATCTTTCTTGAAATCCTAGCTTAAACAGTATCTTCTATGAAGTATCCTAATTTGAAACATCTTCCTGTTATGCTTTATTTAAAAGCATATTTTTCCTTTATATATAGATATAGTAGTAGTAGTAGCAGTAGTCACTCATCGGCTTGAACTCAGGCCTTCGGTGCTATCTCTGAGCTCTTTAGTTCAAGGCTAGTGCTTTACCAGTGAGCCACAGCTCCACTTCCTGTTTTCTAGTGGTTAACTGGAAATAAGAATCTCACAAGGACTTTTCTGCCTGAGCTGGTTTTGAACCACAATCATCAGATCTCAGCCTCCTTAGTAGCTAAGGTAACAGGGATGAGCCACCAGAGTCCAGCTTTATAGTTAATATTTAAATGTATATTACTTTCCTTTGTACAGTGTTGATAACCATCAGAGACAGATTTGGGTGATACTGGAATTGAGACTCTGGACCTTTTGCTTGCTGAGCCACACATATCCCAGTCTTTTTTTGCTTTAGTTATATTTTAGATCTCATATTTTTACCTGAACAGGAATGGACCACATCATCCTATTTATGCTTCCCATGTAGCTGTTATACCACCCTGCCAGCTGATGGTGGAAATGAGGATCTGATGAATTTTTTGCCTCGATAGTCTCAAACCATGATTCTTTCCGACTCAGCCTCCCAAGTACCTGATTTACAAATGTGAGCCACCATACCTGGCCCTAAAAATGTCTTTTAATGAGTAAATGGTTGAATAAACTGTGATAATGCATACCATAGAATAAAATGCAGCAATAAAAAGAAACGGAAGCTTGATACAGGTGTCAACTTAAAAGGAATTATGTTGAGCAGAAAAGGTCTCATACTATGTGGTTTTATTTATAAGACATCTTGAAGTGATAAAAATATAAACATGGAAAATAAATTAGTTCTTCTAGGAGTTGGAAATGGGAGGAAAAAGGGAAAGACTATGGCTATAAAAGCCTGCCTTGAAGCTGGGCACTGGTGTCTCACACTTGTAAAATCCTAACTACTCAGGAGGTTGAGGTCTGAGAATCATGGTTCAAAGTCAGCCCAGGCAGAAAAGTCTGTGACACTCTTAGTGCCAATAAACTACCAAAAAGCCAAAAGTGGAGCTGTGGTTCAAGTCGCAGAAGGCTAGTCTTTAACACAAAAGCTCAATGACAGTGTCCAGGCTCTGAGTTCAAGCACCAAGACTGGTACCAAAAAAGAAAAATGTTAGCCCTGGCAGACAAATCCACAAGATTCTTATATCCAGTTGACCAACAAAAATCCAGAAGCTGAGGTCTAATTCAATGATAGAGTGCCAGCCTTGAGCAATAAAGCCAAGAAAGAGGACAAAGTCCTGAATTCAAACTCCAGTACTGGCATACACACACACACACACACACACACACACACCACATTTGAATAGTCTTGTCCTAGTCCAAAAAAATGAAAAATAATTGGAATGAATTTAAATACTTATGAGCTTGTAATACTGACAAACTAAACTTAAATGATATTGACATATTGATCCCTTACTATGTTAGTTGGTCAATAAGAGGGAGAAATCAAGTAGTTATTCTGCGTTCATTATTCAACTAGTCCCTGTGGGTGAGGAGTTATTGTTGTTGTTTGAGCTCACTGTGTAGCCTAGGCTGGCCTCAACTCTTCATTCTGCTGCCTCAGCCTCAGTGCTGGGATTACAGGCATGGATGAGTGGGAATTTTTCTTTTTCTTTTCTTTTTTTTGTCAGTCATGCGGCTTGAACTCAGGGCCTGGGTTTTGTCCTAAGCTTTTCTACTCAAGGCTAACACTCTACCACTTAGAGCCACAACTCTACTTCTGGTTTTTGCAAGGTTAATTGGAGATAAGCATCTGACAGGAACTTTTCAGCCTGTGCTGCCTTCAAACCTCGATCCTCAGATCTCAGCCTCCCATGTAGCTAGGATTACAGGCATGAGTCACCAGCACCTAGGTTCTGCGTTTTTGTCAGAGGTCCTATGATCTAGAATGACACCTTCTCTTCCATCGCTCCCAAATGTTTAAGGTTCAGGAATTTCCCTAAATCTTCCCTGCAATAGCCTACTTCAAGCTTGCCTTTTCCATGTCCCCTCTCAGTTGCTGACCCTAATCACTAGCGAGCATCAGAAGGTGTGTGTTTGTGAAAGGGATAGTCAAGCAGGCAGAGACAGAGAGACAAAGACAATGAAAGAATGTGGCCAGCCATAAATGTGTCTGGATTCCTTCTCTCCTGCTTTAGTGAATCATAACAACCCTCACCGTCTATTTGAATCCCAGGATAGCAGATCCTTTGGAACTGAAGAAGTCACTCAATTAGCCATCTACTTATTCATTTATCTAATCAACTTTCTTACTACCTAGTATTTCACATACACAAAACACATCCTGCCCATTGGGAGTTTGCAGTCTTACTAAATAAAATGGAACTGTGTGATAAGTAGATAGGTACTAAATCTGGCTAGGAAAACAGACTGTATAGTGGAGAAAATGAATAACTACATGAAAAGGACAGGAATGTTTTGCTCAAGGAGGGAGAATTGTCATCATTGTGGAGCCCTGAGCATGAACAAAACTTTGAAACAACGTAGCAAATCAAGTGCTTGACCCATTGCAATATTGGCTTACTGTGGCCACAAAGGCCATGGAGGGATATGCAAAATGGACATGAAGGGATATACAAAAAATAAGACAGAATCTGAGCCAGCTTCTAAGGGCTTTGCAGTGAGAAGAAATCTAAATTTTATTCCTTCAGTCTGTGCTGCATTTTCACAAGCCATAGGGAACTTTTGCTTACTTGGTGCAGCTAGTCTGAACTGAGATGAGTCACAAACATAAATTATATACTGGATTTCAAAGACTACCAAAAATAAGGTGTAAACAACCTCATACCTTTTTATATTGATTTATCACAGAAATGATCCTATCATTCTAGTGATAAAAATACAACATTAGAAATCATTTCACCTGCCAGGTGCCAGTGTCTCATGCCAGTAATCCTAGCTACTCAGGAAGCTGGGATCTGAGGATCAAGGTTTGAAGCAATCCCAGGCTAGAAAATCCATAAGGCTCTTATCTCCAATTAACTACCAGGAAACCAGAAGTGGTGCTGTGGCCCAAAGTGGCAGAATGCTAGCCTTGAGCAAAAAAGCTCAGGGGATGGTAGGGAGGGAGGGGATGGTAGGGGGAAAACAATGGAGGGGGTAACAATGTTCAAGAGGAAGTGTACTCATTACCTCACTCATGTAACTGTAACCCTCTGTATAGTATCTTTACAATAAAAAAAAGCTCATGGACAGCACCTAGGCCCTGAGTTAAAGCCCCATGAACAACAACAAAAAAAAGAGTTAAAGAAGAGAGAGAAATCATTTCACCTATTCATACTTTATTTTTTAGATAGGGATCCCACTTAAGGACTCAAGCAATCCTCCCTCTTCAGCCTCCCAAGTTAGCTGGTACTATAGGCACATGCCACCATATCTGGATTTTTTTCTAATATAGCCACTGGAAGATTGGAAACCACAGATGTAGCTTACCCACATTCCTTATAACAGGGAAGAGAGTCAAGACTGAGAGAGGAAAAGTATAGGCAAGACTGGGTCCAGGAAAAATAAGGATGCAATCAATAGAGGTTAAATCTGCAGTTAGTTCAGATAGGAAGCCAGATGGAAAACTGAGATGCAAGCTTAGTGTTGTTGGCTTATACCTGTAATTCTAGCTAATCAGGAAGCTGAGATCTGAGGATCAAAGTTCAAAGCCTGCCTAGGCAGGAAAGTCTGTGAGACTCTTATCTCCCATTAACTAGCAAAAAGCCAAAAGTGGAGTTGTGGCTCAGGTGGTAGGGTGTTAACCTTGAACAAAAAAAACTAAGAGACAATGCCCAGACTCTGAGTCCAAGCCCCCAACTGGGTGTGCACACACCATACACACACACACACACACACGCACGCACACACACAATCAAAATTACAGTGAAAATTAGTTATAGTTATATATTATACCCACTATCAGACTATGATACATACAAACAAAAATAAATATGAATTAAACAATAGAATTATTAAGACACAAAAAATATATTCTGAGAACTGACTTTACCACTGTGGGGGACATTTGACAGTATTTAGAGACATTTAGGGTTATCGCAAATGGGGGAAGCATTTGTTGTGTTCTGACTTCTGCTGGGCAAAAGTCAGGAAGTCTGTTCCACATGCTACAAAACACAGCCCCACAACAAAGAGTTATCCAGCCCACAAAGTCACTAGTACCAACAAAGGCAATCTGCCTTTCGCGTATCATGTGACACATGTTCCTAGAGGACCAATGAAGACTTTTCTATGCTGTCTGTAGAAGCTCAGCTACACCATTTCCTGGAACGTTTGCCTCTCCTGTGTTTTAGATTTGTCCCATGAGATAGTACACCAGGCAGACCAAACTCAGAAAAAAAGAAAGAAAGAAAGAAAAAAAGCCAGGCACTGGTGGCTCACGCCTGTAATCCTGGCTTCTCAGGAGTCTGAGGTCCTAGGATCACAGTTCAAGACCAGCCCAAGTAGTAAAGTCTGTGACACTCATCTCCAATTAATGAGAAAACTGAGAAGTGACTCCAACTGGTAAAGTGCTAGCCTTGACCAAAAGAACTCTGGGACAGTGCCCAGGTCCCAAATTCAAGCCCCACAACAGACAAAAACAAAAACAAAATCTTCTGAAGGCACAAACAGCTTTAATTCCATAATCCAGATTCCAACATTTTACAACAACACTGTATTACAAGAAGCTGAATGCCCCATCTCCTCTGCTCTGTGCAACTCTAAGTTCCACCCTTCTCTCCACATCAGCCTTTAGTTTAAGCTATTCATATCCTGGGCTGTCTGGAACCCTGAACCAGCATACTCCTCCTTTTCATCCCTTCTCTCTCTCTCAATATCATTCTGCTTCTCCGAGCTCTTGGTCCCAATAGCACAATAATACATAGCCTCGTCCTCAGGCTGTAGCTCAGAGATGCTCAGATAAGCTCGGTTCCTAGACACATCTTTGGATCCAGAGAAACGAGATGGAGTTTGAGGGCCCTGGAACTTGTCTGAGTGTGAGAAATATTGCAGCAAGAACCGTGGTGGGTGTCCTGGCCTCTGCTGGTACCAGTAGATGCTGTAAACACCAATGTTATAGTCGCTGCTCAGGGTGCAGGTGAGATGGATTGTGGTTCCAAGGGGAGAAGAGGCAAATGGTGGCTGATGCAGCATGAGCTGAGGATCACCACCTAGAAACACCAAAGCAAGGTCCTTGAGAGAGAGTCAAAGCAAGAAAATAAGCATGAGATGTTGGGCCCCCCAAAAGTTCCCTCACTTACCTGTGCAGTGGGCCAATAACATGAGTAGGACAGGAGTCAGGGACATGGTATGGGATCTGCAGCACTCTTCCTCCCACAGCCACTGCTCCTGTGGCCCTGGAGAAAGGGTAGCATTCTCTTTCCTGCTCTGGGAGGAGGGACCAATGCAGCCCTGGTTCCTGCTCACTGCACCCTGCAGTTCCTTGGGCTTGCAGCCTCAGTTTCAGGGAACAGATTGGTGGCAGCTCTGTGTGTGTGTGTGTGTGTGTGTGTGTGTGTGTGTGTGTGTGTGTCCTTGTCCAGGGAGGAAGCACCTGCTGGAAGCTTACTGGCCAGAGCCTAAGAAATTTACTGGTAGGCTTGGAGTCCCCAAGGGAATGTAACCTCAACTTCTCCCTAAGGACTCTGAGCCCCACAGAAACTGAAGTGGCTGACAAACTGAGAATAGGACATGCCCTCAGAATAATAAAAACACCTGCTTTGTACAACAGAAAATTGGGGAGGGTGGTTCTCAGGAATGTGATATGTTTACCCCCTCCAAACTCCAGCAGCACATTTAACTAACTTCCTTTCCCTCCTAGAGCAAACTGGAGCAATGGGCTTCAAAAAAACAAAGCACTTGGTGGGTCATGCCTGTAATCCTAGCTCCTCAGGAGGCTGAGATCTGTGCAGGAAAGTCCATGAGACTCTTATCTCTGATGAACCACCAGAAAACCAGAAGTAGTAGTACTGTGGCTCAAAGTGGTAGAACACTAGCCTTGAGCAAAGAAAGCTCAGGAACAGCACCCAGGGGTCCTGAGTTCAAGCCCTACAACCAACAATAACAAAAAGAAGCACTAAAGAATCAGAACCATCCCTTCCCAGCCCTTAGGGTCCATTAGGCAGCCACACTGACCATATTGTAGACTAAACTGTATCATCACCACTACCAAAATTCATATATAGAACCTCTGATCACCAATGCTCTGATCTCCTATTTGGAGACAGGGCCTTGAAGGAGGTAATAAGACTAGAGAGGTTATAGGTCTTGATCCAGTGTTATATGGCCTAGTGGGAATTAGGGCTCAGAAAGAGACAGGTACAGAAAAAAGAAGTGATGTAAAGGGACGGCTATCATCTCCAACTCAAAGAGAAGCTGGAACAAACCATTCCTTTAGATGCTGATGACTTGATTTTAGACTTCTGGCCACCACCACTTTGAGTTGATTCATTTCCATTCTTTAAACCACCCCATCTATGGCACCTGTTTCTGGGTCCCTAGAAACTAATACAGAACTGTTTCCCTCCATTTGGGTTGCTATTACAAAATAATATAGGTCAGGTAGCTTGTAGCAAAAAATCCTACAGATTTTAGGAGAAGATTCTATAGATTTTAGGAAAAACACAATTGACCCATGGGGAAGGGAACCAGCAGTGTATCTTAAAGCATGGCAATGATGTTCCCTGAACAGATAGTGCCTCCTACAGAAAACTAAAAGAAAAACCTCAATGAGCCCTCTGATAGTGACCACCATTTATGGATCAAACTTAGGCTTTGTTATTCACAAAATTGACAGGCAAGGCACAGAAGTGTGCAGATAGGGTCAGGAGCGGACTTTTGTGTTTGGTTGGCTGTGTGTGTATATGTGCGTGCGTGCCTGCGTGGGGAGGAGCACACACGCACACACGCACATGTAAGCACTAGCATTAGGACTTGAACACAGGACCTTGACTGTCTTGGTTAGGCCAACATGGCTGTTCCCTGTTTTGTAGAACCCATTGATTGGCTGATGAGCTGTCTCTTTCTTGCATGTTGGTTTAATTTTTGCAAGGTTGAGAATGGCTTGAGCCCTTGTTTGATTGTGTGTGTTTTTTTATATCTGTGCTCCATCTGGCCCATTTCCTGACCTTGACTCACTTTCTCATTCTACCCAGACCTTGGTATTTCTCTGTCTATCATGTCACCTTCAATGTGACCTCCTCCACAGTATCTGTATAGGACTCATTGTGAAGGTTAGGCAGACAAAGCTGAAGGTTAAATCCTCCTGTGAAGAGTGCAAGTGAAGGGGTGACATACTAAAAAGAAATTTACTCTTTACCTGACTTATGTAACTGTAACCCTTCTGTATATCACTTTTTTTTGCGGGGGGTTCTGATCGTGG